TCGTCTCCCGCCTAATTGCGAGGTGGGGGTGGGACAGCGGTGTCCGCTGGAAGGGCCCTTCTGGGGCGGCTGGAGACCCCCGGAGAGGGAGTGGTTTTCCAAGTCGCAGAGCGCGCGCGGGAGGCCGAAGCGGGGAGGACACTTGCGGTTCGAGCCTGTTGGCGCTCAGATTTGCCGGTGGCATTCCCCCTCCCCACCCCCCACCCCCAATTGCGGGAAGCGTAGAGCACCCTCAGCCCTCTCCCTGGCCTGAGAAGGGTGCCGGGGTGGAGGGGTGGGGAAGGCCTCTTGGCTCTCCCACCACCTGGGTTGCGGATCCCAGCTGGGTTGCGTTCCGAAGATCCGCCTTTGGGGCAGCTGGGGTGGAAGGTGACGGGAGGACCTACATGTGTGTCGAGACTTCTGTTCCAGGAGCCCCTGGGGCCAGGGCCGGAACTGCGGTCTGCATTTTACTTCTTCCCCTAGAGAATAAGTGGCAGGGTTGAGCCCGAAACGCGGGCTCTGGGCGCGGGGTCCCTTTCTTGCACCTGTGCGCCTGGGGTCTGAGCTCTGGGCTTCATGCCGGGCTGGTTGTCCGGGTGGACCAAGGGGTCCTCCCCAGTTCCCTGCCTGCAGTACGGCGCCCCGGAACCTCGCACCCTCCTCTGGGTGGTGTCTGCCTTCCCCGGCAGAGGCTGTAGACTTGGAAAGCGCTGGCTGTCGGCTCCCCCAGAGTTCTCGGCGGAGAAGCACCCGATCGATCCCTGGGCAGTGGGCGGGGGCCTGGCACAGGGTCTCTCTTTTTCAGGCCACGAGTCCCCAGGTCAGCTCCAGTGCTCGGGAGGTTTCTGGTCAGGCCCTTGTCAGGCCCCTCCTGATCTTTGGGTTCAGGAAGTGTGACTTCTGGGAATCACAACAACCCCAGGTCCTCTGCTGCTTCTCTCCGGGGGACTCGGGGGAGGGGTGCCGTGTGAGGGATGGTTTCTGCACCCAGGCACCCCACAGTCATCATCTCCATTCTTGGCCCCTCACTGGAACTTTCCCCTCTGCAGCGCCCCACTTCCTACTCACTTCTGACTCACTCCACCTGGAGCGGAGCCCAGCACCTGAAAGGGCATAGAAAGGGTGTGTGGGACCTACATGTGGCTGCCACCACTGACGTGGCCTCTGCTTCTTAAGCTGAGGAGAGCACTTGAGGGTGTAGGTTTCGCACCTGGCTCTGGACTTGGCAAGTAGCATAACCCCTGGGAGCCTCAGTTTCCACATCTATTAAATGGGGACAGTGAGAATGCATGTGAAGGGGGTGGTCAGCGCCATGTCGGTGATTGAAATTTATCATCTCACAGAATTCTCCCAGCTGAGTTGCTGTCACCATCAAGTAAAAGATTACAGTGTTCATACAGACGCTTTTCATCTTGGAAGGAACATTTGCTGAACTTCTTTTAGAAGCGGGGTGTTGGAGAACTAAAGGTGGTTTCTGTCAGAAACAGGCTCTGGGGCAGCTGATGATAAAGCCAGCTTCATTTTGTCATTATGAGTAGCTTACAGAATTTTTGTCCTCTACTTTGAGGTGGTGGAGGACCTCATGAATTGGGTCAGGAATGATGGGGCATGGCTGAATTCCCGGTCCTCCTGTGACTAATATTGTTGGGTTTAGACCGTCTGCCCTTTTCCTCCTTCCAAAAAATTCACATTAATTGGCATTTCTTATCTACTAGTCGGCAGCATTGTATGTGCATTCATTCCTGACTCTGGTCATTCTCTTGAGTAAATAAACATTTAGGGCCTTTTGGTGCCAACCCCCTACGACCCCGCAGGTGTGGAGGTGGGGCTGACCTCTGTCCATGAGGGCAAGGAGACAGGAA